CTTTGACTCAGTCACACATGGTGCAGCAGGTCCTTTTGCGCTTCGGCTTCACGTACTCCTCGCCACAGCCCACTCCTCTGCCTACTCGCCACTCGCTCTCAGCTCTGCCTTCGGATGAGTCCGTAGAGCCGAGTGGCCTGTATCCATAGTTTGTGGGCTGCCTCATGTACCTGATGACCTGCACTCGACCTAACATAGCATACCCTCTTAGCATCCTGACACGCTATGTTGCTCCTGGGAGACACCGGAAGGAGCACATGGATGCCGCTAAGAGGGTGTTGCGCTACTTGTGCAGTACGTCGGGCATGGGGCTCGTGCTTGGAGGACGGGCTCGAGTTGTCGTCACTGGTCACGCAGACGCTTCCTGGGCTGACGACTTGGCTACGCAGCGGTCGTCACAGGGTTACACTTTCAGCCTTGGCTCCGGCTCTGTTTCGTGGCGGTCTACCCGCTCGTCTTCTGTTCTCAGCTCCAGTTGTGAGGATGAGATCTACGTAGGGGCCATGGCTGCACAGGAGTTACGCTGGCTCACCTACCTTCTGACCGACCTGGGAGAGCCGCCTCGTTCTCCTCCAGTGCTGTACGTCGACAACAAGGCCATGATTGCCTTGTGTCAGGAGCACAGACTGGAGCACAGAACGAAGCACATTGCTCTGCACTACTTCCTTGCTCGAGAGCTGCAGCAGCGTGGTCAGCTTCGTCTTGCTTACGTGGCCACTCAGGCCAACACTGCTGATGTTTTCACCAAGGCACTTCAGCCTTGTGATCATCAGCGTTTCTGTACTGTTCTAGGCCTTGTGCCCACTGGGCCTCACTTGCTTACTTCTTGATTTTGCTTGTACTGTGATCTTTATACATATTCCTGCATGCTTACACTTGCTAGGTTATGATCACTGTATTGTTTGTTCGCCTTTATATAACTCTGCATGTGAACTGGCCTTGTGGCCATTTGCTCAGAATGCGTGGTGACTTCGTGATCCACCCTGAGCTTGCTTTGCTTCTCTTGACTGGTCTTGTGACCTCTTGTTCTCCCCCACTTTGCCTATGGGGGTGTGTCAAACTTATATGCTATAGTCTGTGTAGGCTGTAGTGGGGTAGTTCATATGGGGTACAACACTGTAGGGTTTCTTACTTGTACTCCTCATGCTGCTCAGTGCAATCATTCCTCGTTCTATCTTTCACAGCCGGCGAACAACATTGCTAATCGCGAGGGCAACAGGGCGACAGACACTCCCGTCGCCCCGAATGCCAACATTCTGCCCAAGACAACCGCCCGTCGCCCGAAACGGGCTGCCGAGGAGTCACGCGAGGACCTCGCCACTGGCGTCGAGGTCCTGCTGGGCGGAGGCTCCCCGGCACCTTCCGAGGAGCCTTCCGCCCCTCGCGCGGCTTCCAGGCAGCCGCGCGAAGTGGCAAAAAAGACAACCGCTGACGCGGCCGTCTTGACCACCACCTCGAGCCCCTCAGACGCGCGTGTCAAGCAGCACGCGCCAGCACCCTCGAGCCACACGCCAGCCACGACCGACCCCAACCCCCCGTTCAACCCGCCGCAACTGCAAGCACTACTGGCGCTGTTACAGCAGCACGCGCCTGTTACGGCGGGGACTTCAAAAAATGAGGACGCTACAACTTCTGCAAAATATGATAAGAAGAAAGAAGAAGCTCCTGCCGTCGCACCGCGCCCTCCCAAGACTGCCCGCATCGAGAAGGACCCGGCCCCTGCTCCCGTCGAAGATGACAGCGACGAGTCAGACGACGCTGATGGTGAGGCCTCCCCTCGCCGTCACAACCCAATTTTCACTCATGCTTCTTGCTCTACGCTTCCCCCCCTCAAGCCCGCAAGCGCAAACTCCACGTTCAACCGCAAGGGCGTACGCGACCAGGCAGAGGTTTTCTTTGCTATCCAGGCCCACCTCAGGCACATTGAGTTCAAGCTCCAGCAAGGCGATGCGGAAGGCGCTCGCACCAACATTGCTCAAATCGAGTCGCTCATTAACAAGCGATTCGAGGTGCTCTTGGTGGCGGACGAGGCGGGCTTCGAGGCGGCCGATCGCTTCCAGCTCTACCAGTCCAAGAGCGTGCTTACCTCCCGTTCGTACAAGCTGGCCGTGGCCGACGTGGCCGCGTCGAAGCGCGCTCGCATGACCTACAACCGCCCCACCCGCGAGGGTGGCCTCAACGCCTGCGAACTCAGCAACAAAGGCTCCGGGCAAGGCTCTTGCCAGGAAAGGACCTTCAAGGGTACCTGTTTTCGCTGCGGCCAGCCCGGCCACATGGCGAACGCCTGCCCCATGGGGGGGCGTGGAGGCCAAGGCCCCACACCCGTAGTGTGAGGGACCAAAGGGCGGAGCCCTTTCCCCTTATGTCAAAGAGACATAACGGGGCTGCACCAGGGGGTGCAAGGCTGAGGAGCAGCCTAAAGAACTAAGGGCCAGGGGGCCCAAGGAGGAGCCCTAGGGGCCATTAGCTATTGGTGCATTTGTGTATTTTTGCAAGAAATGGTTGTTATGTGATGATAAGTTGCCTATGGAAGCGCTTGTTATTTTTACTCCAATTTGGTACCTTGGGCTCAAGGATGGTCTGCACTATGATATGGCCAACCAGCAAACAACCAGTGCAAAGCAAAGAAGAAGAAGAAGAAGAAGAAGAAAAAAAAAAGGTGTGAAAAATCGAGCCGAAAGGTTCATACACCTTAATACGAAATCAAGGGAGGCGTGAGCCTCATCACGCATCAAGAGACCCATCAAGGTCCACGAGGACCCAAGAAACAGCATGGGGGATTGTGCATTGTGTGGTTGTTCACACACACGTCTTAAAAACAAAGAGAGAGAGAGAGAGGGAGAGAGAAGGAGCGGCTCGAACGGTCTGACGTGAGGCTCCAACACGTGCTCGGTCTTAAGGTCCACGGAAGCAGATACGCCGTACAGGTCCAGGCTACAAGGCGTATGCAGCCGAATCCGCTCAAGGGTCATACGCAGCGGATGTTCTCTTTGACGGGCTACGGCACCGGCGACTGGCTCACTGCAATCCCCATTGAACCCACACGGCGGATAGGTCCAGTACACTACGCCAACGCCGTACGGTTCCGACTGGGGCTGCCGTTTTCAACCCCAAAGAACTGTGACTGCGCCGACCACACAGCTATCACTGACCCCCGCCTCCCGAATCACCTACTCCGCTGCGGCACAGGCAAACATCGCATCAACACACACAACGAACTGCGGGATGCCTGTGTTAGCATGGCGTAAGACGCCGGGTTTATAGTTCACAGAGAGTCGGCCGCATACTGCCCTGTCGAGGAACAGACGGCCGACTTCAGTATGACGGACAGAAGCAGTGGGGCGGTTTATATCTGTGACGTCACCGTCACGGATCCCATCAGCACCAGGGATCCCGAGGCACAAAAGGGCAGAGGGTGGGCGGCCAGGGAGCAAGCTGATAAAAAGATTAAGCACTACGCCAACCGCCCTGAGACGGTTGGCTTTTTCCCGCTATCCGTAGACACCTACGGTTGCCCATGCGCAGAGGTGCCCACCTTCCTCAAACTCCTAGCGGACACGGCGGCTCGGCGGCACTTCAACGCCGACTCCAAATCATTCTACGCCGCCAAGTTCCTACACCAGTTCCGTCAGAGATGGTCGGTAGCTCTTCAGAGGGCCCAGTCAGTGGGGCTCCTACTTAAGCTGGGTGAGGCGGCGGCGGCAGAAAACCCTCCAGTTGGAGGCATAGGGCAGGAGATGCACCTTGGGGACTGCTTCGCGGTGGTTGAGCCTTTTCTGGAGCTCTAGAGAGGACGGTGGTGTGCTCGTTGTATGGCATGTTTGCTTTGTTTGTTCGGTTGTCAGTTTGGTTCACTAGACATTGCACTATACCCTGCATGTGTGTACTATCAAACTATATCAATACACGGACCATTAGAGAGGGAGAGAGAGAGAGGGAGATAGAGAGAGAGAGAGAAAAGAGCGAGAGAGAAAGAGAACATGCGTTGTCTCCCTCTCTTGTTTTTTCTCGCGCACCACATTGCATAGAATATTTGGCTCCTGAACCGCATCTCACTAGGTGCAACCCGAGCCGTGCAAATCAAGATCGCAATCACGCAACGCAACTCGCCCACGTGCGTGGATACGTGCGAGTGTACACGAGGGCAAGTCTCTCAAGCCCACCACGAAGGCCAGACCACACGACGGTCGGTCTCGAGGCAGTTCACGGAGCACAAGGGCACGTCACGCCCACAGAGATAGAGAGAAAGAGAGAGAGAGAGAGAGAGAGAGAGAGAGAGAGAGAGAGAGAGAGAGAGAGAGAGAGAGAGAGAGAGAGAGAGAGAGAGACCCTTGGGTCCTAGTCCTTAGCCATTTTTAGCCTAGTTCCTTAGCCTAGCCTACCCCTGAGTCATTTTTGCCTAGTTTCCTAGTATATAAGGGCAAGGAGCCCATTCTCCTACTCATTGTTTGGTGGTGAGTTCATTCTCACTGCAAAAATCGGCGGCTCGCGCCGGCCGCCTTCGGCGGCCGGCGCTCGACAGCGCGGCCTTCGGCCGCGCGTGAGGGGTGGCAAGACAACAGCTGCATTGATACAAGCACACCATACAAACATGCAGCACTAGTAGGGCCCTAGGAACAAGGGCAAGGTAAGTAGGAAAGCCGGGGGGCGGGAGAAGATGGGGAACAAGAAGGCACAAGGCAAGGCACAGGGCAAGGCACAAGGCAAGGCCCAACAAGGGCAGGTTTTCACACGTGATTCAGCACGTAAAACCGCCGCCGAATCCAGCGGAGCAATGACGCGAGCGCGGGCACAAGCTGGAGGGGAGCCTGTTCGGCAGCCGTGGCTACCCTGCGGAAAGCCCTCGCGCCCGGCCCCTCGTTCTCGTCAGGGCGCTCGGACTCCAGAGGCAAACGGAGGAGGTGCCAAAGACCCTGCGCCGCAGCTTCACGCACAAGACCCTGCTGGTGCTCCGTCAGCTGGGGATCCCGGAGCACAAGATTCCGCCCTTCCAGACCGACATGCAACTGCTCCAACGCCGTCGCAACATGGGAAAGGCACTCGCCAACCCCGATCATGCGCCGCTCCCAGCGGAGAATGTCCAGAACGAAATCATTCTGGATGTCCCAATCCCGACCCCACAACGTCCCGGACTGGGGAGACTCCCACAGATCACCGTTCCACCACTTCTCGTCGTCTTCAGGATCAGGTGCGTCGGGCGGAAGCGGAGGAGAGTGGGAACGAGGGGGAGGGAATCGGGCAACAGGGAGCGGGGCGAGCGGAACCAGAGGATGCTGCCGCTGGGGAAGATCACCCGGTGGACCTGCAGACGGGGGGGACGGCGGACAGACAGGAAGCACGAGAGGTGCCCCGTCCGCAGCCGGCGGCGGCGGGGGAGCCGGAGGAGGAGGCGCACGCGTTATCAGGGGAGAGTGGGTTGCTGGCGGGGCGGGAAGAGGAGGAGGAGCTGAGGGCGCCGATGGCGACGACTCCGCAGGCACAGACGACAGCTGCTGGGACGACTGGAGAGACGCTGACGGAAGGCGTGGCGACGTTGGCCCCAAGAGATGGTGACCGCGCGTCTGAAGCAGAGGCCCGACGATCTCACGCTGAACAGCGGGAGGATGTCGGGGAGGACGGCGACGGCGGAAGGAGCCGCCACGAGCCCGGAGATGCGGATGGGTCCGCCCGCGGGGAGAGCGATATACTGCCTCGCGACGTCGGGGGGGGAGCCGGCCTCCTCGTGTGCGACCAGGGCAGCGGCGGCTCGGAGCAGGGCTGGCGCCAGCTCGCCCCGGGCCTGTGAGTGGCTGGGAGCGACAGGAGAACCAATCGAGCGGTCCGATCGAGAGGAGGACCGACGCTTGCCAGTCATCGCGACGGGACCTGCATGCACAAGGAGGGGAGGGTGATGAAAACCGCGCGGCAGATCAGCTTGAGGAGGACGAGGGGAACAGGGAGGAAGAGGGGAGAGCGACGGTGACACCAGGGTGGCAGAGGCAGAGGAACGAAACCAACAGGCAGAGGGCCTTACGAGAGCAGGCGAAAGCGAGGGCGACGGGTCAGCAGCCGCGAAACGCGGCGGGAGGCACGACCACGCGGGGTCGCGGAAGAGGCCGGGGCAGGGGGGGACGGGTGGGGGAGCTAGCGAGATCCGTGGCAAGGGAAAAAGCCAGATCTGGAAACTGGCGGGAACGGCATGGGAGGCCAGAGGAGCAGAACGGAGAACCAATGAATGATGCTGCAGAGGGAGAAGAGTCAGAATATATGGAAGAGGAAGAGGCTGAATCGGAGGAGGTGTCTGTGGAGGCAGAGGACGGGGTCCCGGCTGGCAACGAGGGCAGACGACGACGTGGCGCACGCCGAGGACATGATGGAAATATCCCTACCGGGGCGGGACAGGTGGGCGAATCACCAGCTCAGCAGACTAACGAATCTGCCAACAAGGAGCGCTCTCCAAAGGACATCGCAGACGATGATGACACATGGCGGGCGGTCGAGAGCTGGGACCTGGACCCACTGCGAGATAGTTCCCAACCTTTCTTGGCCAGGAAGCTTCCCCCGGAAGAACTGAAATCATACAGCCACTGCCTGACGATACCCCTCCTGCGACTCTCGAAACATCCGGGCTGCCTGGGCGCTTGGAGGGTGCTGCAATTCCTGCCACGGCTTACACTAAGGGCGAGTACGGAGAAGGTGCCGGGAAACAGCCTCGACGCAGTGAAGAAAAGACTTTGACAATTCCGAGATGAAGATTGGGGTTCTCTGTACCTCCAAGCCTGCACCATCCCCGACATTTCCCAACCAAGCAGACACGAGCCAGACGCGGAGGGCATCTGCGCAAGGGTAGAGGGTTTGGTCCGGAAGGCCAATCTGGCGAAAGCTGCGGCAGCGTTACGAACCACTCCGTTGGCAGAGCCGTCGCAACATGCACTGGAAACACTCAGGGAGAAACACCCGCGAGCGGAGGTGGCGATACAAGAAGGGCTGGGGGGTTACAGTGAAACAGCACTCGCCATTGGCATAGATTCGTTCCGCGACATCCTGGCGAAGTGCCCAAACGGAATAGGAGCCGGCCCGTCAGGCACTTGCTTCGAACACCTGCGCGACCCTGCTCTAACAAACGGGGAGGTTTTATTGCTGCTGCACCAGGTAGTCAACAACCTACTCAGCACGTACCAGGACGCGCCGGTAAGGGAGCTACTGCTACCATCAAGGCTAATCGCCCTGGAAAAGCCAAACGGTGGAGTACGGCCAATAACGATAGGGGAGGCGCTCCTTAGGCTGACGGCAAAGGCGGCGCTACGGGAACTGTCTGGGGAAATTCGCTCTCACTTCCTACCAGTACAATATGGCGTGGCCGTACCAGGGGGAGCGGAGTGTATAATACACACGGCTCGTACGCTGCTGGCGGAGGACCCGACGCGAACAATACTGTAGCTGGACATCGAAAACGCTTTCAATTCGGTGGAGCGCGGGAGTTTTCTGACGACACTGCTATGGACCGGCGGACTGAGCTCACTGCTGCCATTTGCAAGAACTCTTTACGGCGCGCCGTCGAAACTGCTACTGGACAGAGGCTTCACTGTCAGCGCCATCGACAGCGCCCGTGGCGTTAGGCAAGGAGACCCGCTCGGCCCCATGCTCTTCGCGGCAGCCATACAATCGGCCCTGCTAGCGGCGGCGGTAGCAGTCCCGGGCGTAACAGTGATGGCGTACGCGGACGACATCACTGTCATTGGCCAGCCGGCGGCCGCGACAAGAGCGTTCAATATGATCGTCCAAGAGCTCGTCGGCCTAGGGCTGCGGTGCAACCTCACCAAGTCGTCGGCCTGGAGCCCCACGGGAAACACAACGGACCTACCGGAAGGATTGGCGGCAGCGGTGGACGGAGTGCAGGTCCTGGGGAGCCCGATAGGCACAGTAGCGTACTGCAGGCGCATGCTTAGAGCCTCGCTGGAGCGGATAGCCCTCCCACTGAGCCTAGTCAGTAAGCTCCATCCACAACACGCGATGTTGCTCCTGTCGCGCTGCATATCGCGCAGAATCTCATACATCCTGCGCACAACGCCGGCGGACGTGCTCCCCGTCCGGGAATGGCTGGGGTGGAGCGAAAGGCTGCTGTGGACAGCACTTAGGGCGGCCAACATCAACGTACCTTCTAAGGAGCTGGAACAAAGCCTGGTGTGGAGGCAGGCGACACTACCCATCGCGCTGGGCGGGGTGGGGCTGATAGACCCACTGTCGGAGGCGCCGGCGGCGTACCTCGCATCACTAAGGGCGGCACAGATGCTGCTGCAACAAATGCCGCCCTCGCCAAACCATCAGCTATTGCAGGTGGCGTCGCTGGTGTCACCACTTGGGGAGGGAGTGGCAGGAAGGGAAGGGGAGGCAATGCAGGACCTGCGGAACAGGCTTCCCGAGGAAGCACGGGAGCTGCTAAGGGAGCCGGGTGACAGCAGGGTAGGACGGGGCCGCCTGCAGGAGCAACTGTCGCGCCACATAAACCTGAACCGGGCGGCGGAGCTGGTGGGCGACACGCAGATGGACAAGCCGGGGGAAGACAATGGGCACGTGGTCCGGCTGATCAGCTTGCAGGGGGTAGGCGCGGGGGACTGGCTCCATGCAATCCCCACGCGGGCAGACCTGACGTTCTCGCCGGGTCAGTTTGCTTTGTCCCTGGGGTTCCGCTTGGGACTGGCGCTGCCGGTGACTGAGCACTGCCCATGCCAGGGGGAGCGGGGGGAGATAGGGGACCTGAGCTTACCGAACCACCTGCTGCGGTGCGGGGAGGGGAAGGAGAGGACAAACACACACAACAATCTCGTGTATGCGGCGCTCCGCATGGCTAGGGAGGCGGACTACCTTACCTTGTACGAGACCACGGTCTACTCGCAACCCATCAACCCCAAGCGAGCAGACCTAGCCATCAAGGACAGGGAGTCGGCCGAGACGTACGTGACGGACGTCACGGTGACCGACCCCGTCCTGCAGCGCCGCGACACCAGGGCAGTGAAGCCGCCGGGGTGGGCGGCAGAGGATGCAGCTAGAGGGAAAAGGGGAATGTATGAGGGGCGGCCGGATTTTGTCGGGGTGTTTGGGCTGGCGGTGGAAACATATGGAGCCCTGGCACGCGACACACAAAGGTTTCTCAGGCTCTTAGGCAGACAGGTGGCTAAAAAGAAATTTAGGCAGGGGAGGCTTACCACTGTCGCCTCCAAACTCACAGCCCACTACCGCCAGCGCTGGTCGGTAGCGCTGCAGAGGAGCCAGGCGAACACGTTCCTGGCAAAGTCTAACCGGGCCACAGAGAGTGCCTACCCACAGGCGGCGGCCGACCCATGGGAGCCACGCCTGGGGGACCTGTGCCAGGTCATTGAAGATGACCTGGACTGGGGGCCAGCCCTAGAGGTGTGAGGGGCTGGGGTAAGGGGGGGCCCCAGGCAGCGGTCCCTAGGTGCTGGGCACACGGCAGGCCTTGGCTACCCAAGCCAGCTAGCATAGTTGTTTTAGGTTGATGCTTGCTTGCATGTGTGCTTGCTGGCCCGTCTGATATCTAGACTGCATGCTAGGTTGGCTGATTCTATCATGCCCTGCCTGTACCTTTCACAATATCAATGAAGGACCGCTTGAGAGAGAGAGAGAGAGAGAGAGAGAGAGAGAGAGAGAGAGAGAGAGAGAGAGAGAGAGAGAGAGAGAGAGAGAGAGGCACTAGGAACTAGTCCTTAGCCTCTCTTAAGCCTCTCTTAAGCCTCTCTTAGCCTCTCTTCCCTAGTATATAAGGCCTAGGAGCTCATGTTTCCAGTCATTGTGTTCTGTTGAGTTCCTTTTACTCTCAGAATCCAGCGGCTCGCGCCGGCCGCCTTCGGCGGCCGACGCTCGCTAGCGCGGCCTTCGGCCGCACGTGAGGAGTGACAAGGAAACGAGGAGAGACAACACTTGAGCAGGAAGGCATACAACATGGTGCAGTAGCAACAACAACAGCAACAACACCCCCAGGGTGAACTTCAACGCCATGGGGAAGCCCAAGGGCCAGCCCAAAACCATGGTGGCCGGCAAGGGAAAGACAACGGCTACTCGGAGAGGATCCAGCATAGTTGCCCGTCCATCCAGCGCAGGACGGATGCTGCTGCTGACACGAGGCCGAGTGGTGCCACTCGGGCAGTCTCGGCGAGCTCCAGCAAAGCCAGGGGGCCGGGTCCGAGGGCAGCGCCAGGGGAGCCAGGCCAGTACCCAATCAGGGGGAGGAACTGCTGCAACTCCGCCGCTGCAGCCTCCGCCGCCGCCAGCTCCGTCGGCAGCAGACCCTGGATCTCAAGCCCCTGCCGCTCCAGGCACAGGTGGAGCTGGTCGAGTTGGTAAGACAGCAGGGACAAGCACGTCCCCACGTTCATTGCGCGCTCTGCGACGCCATCAGGGGAGCCCTCGCCCGTCGGACTCCACGGCGCGTCAGGAACCACAGCAGGGGCAGGTGGCGGCGCTGGAGGAGTCCACTGCCCCCACGGTATCGGCACCTCGCGCCCACCAACGAAGAGGCGAGGGAATGCGCCCGCGGACGGACCAGCCTGAGGAAGGGGGGGGTTACGGGGAGAAGGACACGGAGGGAGGGGTGACACGGGGGGTGAAGGCGGCGGTCGCTGCAAGGGCGGCTGAAACCAGCTGCGCGGAGGCGGATGAGAGGCCGGAGGCGGCGGTGGTCGCGGTCGCGACGCCAGGGGCGGCGGCTGTCGAGGAGGAGGCGCCTGATGGTGCTGCGGCGGCCAAGACGACGGTGGGGCAGGTGGGGCAGGGGGCAGACTCGGGCCAGTCTGACGAGACTGCCGCTGCCGCTGGCGGCGGCTTAACTTCACCCTCTGCCACCCCCCAGACTGCATCGCGGCTTGCAGAGGAGCGGGTGCCGGTGTCGGAACAGGGGCTGCCCGTGGAGGTGGGGCTGGCGGCATCCCCCGCCCCGGTGGCTGCGGCTGAGATCGCGGCGGTTGTGACTGCTGCGGCTCGGGGACGGGGGGGTGAAACGGACGAAGTGGATGCGACGACGGCCGCTGCGTCCGCCGGAACGGCTGCTGCTGACGAGGGCGCAGGCACGCGGGGGCGCGGCCAGGCGGCGGATGAAAGACAGCGCCGCGGGAAGAGCGTCGCTTCTCCCGCCGCTGCTCCCGCCGCCCGCGGGAAGAAGGGGAAGTGGCCTCGTGCCCAGCCAGCAGCGAGGCGGCCCGGAGCAGGGCTGGGACCTGGTTCCCCGGGACCCCTCCTGGGCTGGCTGCTGCCAGGGCGGTCGCCACAAGAGCCAACGCGTCCGTCGTCATCGCAGGGCGGGCCGTCCCAGCAGATCGCCTCCGACGAATTCCTTCCCGCCGGCGAACAAATACCCGCCGACCGAGGGGCCGTGCAGGAACCAGGGATGACGCCACCCGTGGAGCCGGGCCCCGGCAACCGCGCCCCGCCAGCAGCGACAGAGGTGGCGGCGGCAGCTGGTAAGATCGGGCCCCCGCAGATGGGAACCAGGCGCTCGGCGAGGATGGGAGCGATCACCTGGGGCCCGCCACGTGGCGGACGAACGCCGTGGATGCCGGCAGGACGGGGGGGGCTCAACGGCGCAGCAACAGGAACGGCAGGCGGAGCGGGGAGGGGAGCTCGCGGGGGTTTCCGCGGAGGCCTGAGAGGGGGACGGGGGGGGCGCAACCGGATCCCCATATCTGATATTCCTGTTAGAACAGGCCCTTGGCGGGAACGCCACGACAGGCCGGAGATGCAGGAAGCGGGAGCGAATGAGGAGCGCGAAGGTTCTGACAACTCCAGGAATGACCCAGAGTTTATGGGTGGTGAGGAGGAGGAGTCTGAAGAAATATCTTTAGACGATGAGGAGGAACCGGCAAGGAGAGCCACACAACGCCAGGAGAGGGCGGCGGGTGGAGATGCCCCACAAAGTCTGGGGGGGGAAGGAGAACCAGCCACGGAGGACACCGATGTGCCATCCCCTGCCGATCTGGCTGGCGATGACGCCATCTGGCTGGCTGCGGGGGCGTGGAATGTGGACATCCTTCAGAAGGGGGAACAGCCTTTCCTGGTCCGACGATTACCACCCCAGATTCTGGACAAATACACTCTGTGCATGCTAGCCGCACTTCATCGCCTGGACAAGAACCCGAGCTGCCCAGGTGGCTCGTTGATGCTTCAGTTCCTACCGAGGCTCACGCTCAGGCCCGCCCCCGAACCTGTTACGGGGAGTCGCTGGACGCACATCGAGGCGCGCCTTCACAAATTTCAGAAGGGCGAGTGGGTTGACCTTTTCGAGGAAGCCGGGGTCATCCCCGACACAGGAGGTCCGATACGACACAAGGGAGATGATGAAGGGGTTTGTGCACGGGCGGAGGGTTTAATGAAGAAGGGCAACATTTCAAAAGCTGTCGCTGCTTTGCAAACTAGCCCTCTAGCAGAGCCAACCCCAGCTACACTCGAGGCACTACAAGCGAAGCACCCTGCGGCGGGTACGCGAATTCTGTCGGATGCACGTCATTCTGAGTGCATGTCATCCTAACGTCCTGCCGAGTGCTCGTGCTATTTGTGCTTGCATGATTTGCATGAGCGTATGTCATTATGCATGGCTGTTGGATATTACCATCTCTGTGTTTTTCTCCAAGTCTACATGCTTGATCATGCAGGAGAAACCCAGAGCTTTCCAACGATACCAAGATCGCCTTATTCCGACCAAGATCGCCCAAGTTATAAGAATTCCAAGACTTGGATTTCTTATTACCTTTTGGGGTTATATCTAATTTGGGTGATTACTTGGGACATGACTATAAAGGGATCTTTGGTTGGGTGGTTAGGGAAGGCAACTTTGACTTTTGGATTGGGGTGGCTAGAAGTTTCTAGCATGGGTTACAAATGTTGCAACACCTAGGCAAAATCCAACTAGATTGGATTTTGCATGTGACACCTCAAGGACCTCATGATGAGGGTTGCATCCTTGCTGCTAGGAAGTTTCCTACCATCCTTCCCTAGCTCTTGGAGAACCCCTTCCCTCTCATGGTTCTCTTGGAGGTTCCCAACTCCAACTTTCTATGCCTTAATGTTTGTACTTCCTCCATCATTCTAGTCATGCGGCTGCTGGACGTTTTTACATGGTTCTCACTCTTTAGACCATCTTAACGACTGATTCAACTTGGAAATGGTAGCTAAGACTAAGGCGCACAATCCTACCGAGCGGATTTGCGTTTAGTTGAGTAATGAGTTCGTCCTAAGCTCTCAAAGTGACGGATCCTGAACAACAAGTGGTATCAGAGCGGGTAGTCGACTTTGAGACGACGAATCGTCGTGAATTCCCAACCAATGTTGTCGAGTGAGACCATTTTCTAGTAGCTCTGCTCGCGAACGTTCGATTGGTGGTCGAACCGCGTTCTAATTCGAAGTATCCAGTCCGCGACGGCGATTTTCCTAGAATCGAAATTTCTGGCAGAATTCTCTCCAAACGATTTCTCAAGTTTCCACCGTTCATAAGGCCTCAATATGGTTGGTACGAACTCCGGAGGTGCTAGTGGCGAGATGGATAGAAGTAGAGAGGCTGGAGAGCAGGGGGGAGTTGCTGGTAGAGGAGTGGGGACTCACCAACCAGCCAACCCTACGCTACCTACTTCTTCTACACCATCTCCTACTACCGTGGATCCTGTGAAAGCTTTCTCTATTGAGAAATTCATGGGGGAGGACTACGAGCACTGGAGCTTCCGCATGAGGCTGATGTACACCCAATACAAGCTATTGGATCTGGTGGAGGGGAAGGAGAAAATGCCGGAGGCCGCGGAGCTGAAAGGAGCGTGGATGAAGCGATCGTTTGACGCGTACATGCTAATGGTGCAAGCGGTTGGCGGGCGACAACTTGACCACATCAAGGACCTCTTGGGTGATCCAGAGTGTGGCCCCAAGGCTTGGAGGAAGCTTCTGGATGTGCACTCACCGACACATGCTACCGGCATCGTGCTACTCGCGCGGCGGCTGCGCGACATCAAGTTCGTTGATGGAGAGCCGATGCAACCGGTGTTGGATGAGATGCGGGACATCTTTACGAAGCTCCAAGGCGGCGGTGTGGTGTACCCGGAGCTCGTTCAATGCGTCGAGATCGTGATACGGCTGCCGGAGTCGTGGTCTGCCCTTGCGATCAACCTCAACTCTCAACAGCCCCAGTGGAGCGTGGATTACATTCGCGCGCGCATCCTAGAGGAGGACCTGCGGCGGCGGAGTGTGGAGCGCTCGGAGGAGGGGGCTGGCTATGGAGTTGGAGGTGGAAAGAGTGGCTTCAAGAAGAAGTGGAAGGGCAAGAACAAGGACTACCCTAAGAAGGATGGCGGCGGGGGTCAAGGGGAGGTGTGCTTCTACTGCAAGAAGCGCGGACATCGTTGGCGGAAATGCTACCATCGACCCAAGGATTGGACCCCGCCTTCATCAAGCAACCAGCGTGGTGGCACGAGGAGTGGGGGAGTCATGGGAGCTAGTGGAGAGGAGAAGGAGGAGGAGAAAGGCGGCAAATCTGAGGAGCGGAAGGCCGGGTTCTTCTTCTTCGTGAACGAAGGCGCAACCGACCTCGCTATGGCTGCCAAGGTTCTCCTACACCCCCTCACCCATTGGGTGATTGACTCGGGAAGCTCCTGGCACATGACTCCTCGTGCGGACCTACTCGATGAGATTCAGCCCGCACCTATCTCTACTGTCACATCTGCGACGGGCGCCAAGGCCAAGGTCATGGGCATGGGATGCGCCAAGTTCATGGGAGCGGATGGAGAGCTCGTGGGGCTGAAGAATGTGCTGTGGGTGCCGGACTTATGCGCGAACCTGATTTCTACCGGCCGGTTGGGAGATGCGGGTGTGAACACCGAGACGATTGGCTCGGAGCGCTATCGTGCCTACAACGATGAGCGCCTCATTTGGGACCTGCAGTAGAAGGGAGATGTCCACAAGCGCATGTGGCAGATCCCGGTCCTCCCTTGGCGGAAATCGGGCAAGGCGGCAGCGGCGGCATCTATGGAGGAGAGCGTCACCGAGGAGCAGCAAGGTGTGCAAGGAGAGGAGCTGATTGGAGGAAGCGCGGCGGTGAAGGCGTCGGCTACCTCGGGCCAAGCGGATTGGGAGACTTGGCATCGGCGGCTCGCACACGTGGCTGTTTCCACATTGGAGGTGATGCACAAGGAGAAGTGCGTGCATGGGCTGCAACTGCAAGGAGATGGCGCTCACTATGGCAGCTGCGAGGCGTGCATGCAAAACAAGTTTGCGCGGTTTCCGTTTCCACGAGCGGAGGGATCAGCCAAGGCACCATTGGAGGTGGTGCACATGGACCTGGTGGGTCCTATGAGGACTGAGGGGACTGGGGGAGTGCTGTACTTCCTTACCATGGTGGACGAATGGAGCCGTTTCACGTGGGCGCGTCCCTTGTCCAAGAAGAGCGATGCTGCAGCGGCGATCAAGGAGGATTGGTTGCCGATGGTGGAGCGGCAAGCGATGCGGTTGGTGAAGGTGCTGAGGAGCGACCGTGGTGGAGAGTTCCTTGGAGCGGAATTCACCAAGTTCCTCAAGAGGAACGGCATCCGACACCAGCTGACCTGCCGAGGAACACCGCAGCAGAACGGCATTGCTGAGCGTGCCAACCGGACCATTGGCGAGGCGGCTAAGACCTTGTTGGGGGCTGCTGGGATGCCTTACAAGTTCTGGCCTGATGCCGTTCGCCATGTCATCACGGTCAAGAACAGGGTCTTGACACATGTTGGCGACAAGCATTGGGTGCCGTACGAGCGCTGGCTTGGGAAGAAGCCATCCATTGACATGCTGCGGGTGTGGGGCTGCATGGAGCTTGTGATGGTGCCTAAGGAGCAGAGGCACAAGCTGGAAGTTGCTGCTGTGTGGGCTGTCCATCTTGGGATGGCTCCTGACTCGAAGGGGTGGCTGATGTGGGACCCCAAGAGCAAGAAGACGCTGGTCAGCCGTGACGTCAAGCTTGTGGAGGACGTCATGTACAAGGACTGGCAGCAGCAGCAGCAGGTGCAGATTGGCTTGCGTCTGCAGGAGATTGAGCGGTCTGCAGCGGAGGAGGTTCAGCTGCACCTTGAGGATCTCCCTGGGTCAGAGCTGACCAGTGACCACAGTGGCGGTGGTGAGCAGCAAGGTGCTGGTCCTGCTGCGGAGGAGGGGTTGGAGGATGAGTCGGCACGTGTGGACTCACCATCTCAGCCCGAGCCTGCTGCAAACGCCAAGGTCACGAAGAGGAGTGTGCAGAGAGGAGCTTCACCACATGGGCAGCAGATTGCAACCCGCGAGAAGAGAGTGGCAGCAGCACCCTCTAGGCTGAAGTATAGCCGTTTGGGAGGACCCAAGCAAGGTGCCATGGCGGTTCAGGCGGATGAGGGAGAGGATGAGGAGATGGCGTTCTGTTTCTTCACACCCTTGCCTGGAGAACCGGCCACAGTGGAGGAGGCACTGAGTGGACCCCAGAAGGAGGAGTGGAAGGCTGCCATGGATGCGGAGTTCAACAGTCTCATTGAGAATGGGACTTGGGAGCTTGTTGAGTTACCCGAGGGGCGACGGCCGATCAGCAGCAAGTGGGTCTTCAAGGTGAAGAGTGGAGCTGATGGTGCGTTGGAGCGGTTCAAGAGCCGCTTGGTCGCCAAGGGGTTTCAGCAGAAAGAGAAGGTCGACTTTGGGGAGATCTTCGCTCCCGTTGCTAAGCCAGTAACACTGAGGACTTTGACGGCTGGCGCAGCTGTGAAGGGATGGCACGTGAAGCAGATGGATATCACCACTGCGTTCCTCAATGGAATACTGCTGGAGGATATCTACATGGCGCAGACCGACGGCTATGAGGATGGGACCAGCCGGGTGTGCAAGCTTAAGAAGGCCATCTATGGCCTTAAGCAAGCGCCCAGGTGTTGGTACGAGAAGCTGAAGGAGGTGCTGCTGGGTGGAGGCTTCAAGACGTCCCAGGCGGATCACAGCTTGTTTCTGCTTGGTGAGGGGGAGCAGCTGCTCTTGCTGCTGGTGTATGTCGATGACATACTGCTGTTCTCACCTTCCATGGAGCAGATTGAGAGGACACAGAAGCTGCTGATGGACAACTTCAAGTGCAAGATGCTGGGGGATGTCCTCTACTACTTGGGGCTGCAGATTGAGAGGGATGTTGAGAGGAGGTGGCTGAAGGTGCATCAGTCACACTACATCTCTGGTGTCATGGAGCGGTATGGTGTGACTGGGGGTCGCACTGTGATGACACCGTTCCCTACGGGCTTCAAACTGAAAAAGGCAGCTGAGGAGGATGATGTACTCGAGGATGAGCAGCAGAATGAGTACCAGTCACTCATTGGGAGTGTGATGTATGCAGCTGTGCATACGCGACCTGATGCTTCATTCGGAGTGGGGCAGCTGGCCAGAGTTGTGCAGCGGCCCACTGAAGAGCAGTTGGAGGTGGCAAAGCGCTTGGTGCGCTACCTCGGATCAACGGCATCTGCTGGTGTTCAGTTTTCAGCAGGCGGCCAGCTGAAACAGATTGGAGCAGATGGAGTCACGCCTGGAAGCTTGAAGCTGTCGTGCTTCACCGATGCCACATGGGCCTCAGAGGATGAGGATAAATCATCGGTTGGCGGCTTTGTGTGCATGGTCGGAGGCGGACCAGTGAGCTGGAGGTCCAAGAAGCAGAGTGAGGTTGGATGCACGTCATTCTGAGTGCATGTCATCCTAACGTCCTGCAGAGTGCTCGTGCTATTTGTGCTTGCATGATTTGCATGAGCGTATGTCATTATGCATGGCTGTTGGATATTACCATCTCTGTGTTTTTCTCCAAGTCTACATGCTTGATCATGCAGGAGAAACCCAGAGCTTTCCAACGATACCAAGATCGCCTTATTCCGACCAAGATCGCCCAAGTTATAAGAATTCCAAGACTTGGATTTCTTATTACCTTTTGGGGTTATATCTAATTTGGGTGATTACTTGGGACATGACTATAAAGGGATCTTTGGTTGGGTGGTTAGGGAAGGCAACTTTGACTTTTGGATTGGGATGGCTAGAAGTTTCTAGCATGGGTTGCAAATGTTGCAACACCTAGGCAAAATCCAACTAGATTGGATTTTGCATGTGACACCTCAAGGACCTCATGATGAGGGTTGCATCCTTGCTGCTAGGAAGTTTCCTACCATCCTTCCCTAGCTCTTGGAGAACCCCTTCCCTCTCATGGTTCTCTTGGAGGTTCCCAACTCCAACTTTCTATGCCTTAATGTTTGTACTTCCTCCATCATTCTAGTCATGCGGCTGCTGGACGTTTTTACATGGTTCTCACTCTATAGACCATCTTAACGACTGATTCAACTTGGAGATGGTAGCTAAGCCTAAGGCGCACAATCCTACCGAGCGGATTTGCGTTTAGTTGAGTAATGAGTTCGTCGTAAGCTCTCAAAGTGACGGATCCTGAACAACAAATTCCGAGTTGGGTAACCGGAATCACAACCTCTGACCTATCCGTCCAGCCGGACATTCTTCGCGAAATTTTGGCGAAATGTCCGAACGGGGTTGGGGCAGGGCCTTCTGGGACTTGTTTCGAGCACTTGAGGGATCCTGCCCTCGCCAACGAGGAAGTGCTGCTACTTTTTGCCAACGTGGTCAATAGGCTCCTTAGCAGTTTCCAAGCACAGAACGTGCGTGACCTACTCCTGCCTTGCCGCCTGATTGCACTCGAGAAACCTAATGGCGGGGTTCGGCCGATAGCCATCTTGGAGGCCATTCTGCGCATCGTAGCAAAGGCAGCGCTCCATCTTTGGCGCCTAAGATTAGGGAGTTCCTTCTTCCAGTGCAGTTTGGAGTAGCGGTGCCTGGGGGAGCGGAATGCGTCATCCACACCGTCCGATCGCTTTTACGGGAGGATGAGACGCGTATCGCCCTTCAGCTAGATGTAGAGAACGCCTTCAACAGTGTCGAGCGGCGTGCTTTCCTAGGGTCGCTTCAGTGGTCGAACCTCAGCCCCTTGATCCCTCTCGTCCGAAACCTTTACGATGGGCCGTCACGCCTACTCACAGATGCACGCCTCGGCGTCGATCACGTCCTGAGCTCGAGGGGCGTCCGACAGGGAGACCCCTTAGGCCCCCTTTTGTTCGCGGTAGCAATCCAGCCGGCGCTTTTGAGCATTTCGGCGACGATGCCGGAAGTCGCCGTTGTCGCCTACGCGGACGACATCACCATCGTCGGTCCGAAGGAAGCGGCATCCCGAGCGTTCACGAAGATCGCCAGCGACCTAGCAGACTGTGGTCTGCGTTGTAATTTCTCCAAGTCGTTGGCGTGGTGTCCCATACGGGGGGGGGGGGGGGACAGACGGGGCTTCCTGCCGGTTTAACAGCAGACCCGGGAGGCATACAGGTCCTAGGTAGCCCCATTGGCACGGCGGACTTCTGCACTAGCCGTGTGAGAGCATCTCTAGAGGAGGCAGCGTCCCCACTCCGCCTAGTCGGCCAGCTACACCCTCAGGCGGCCCTGCTGATTCTCTCACGCAGCATCTCCCGCCGCATCTCCTACCTACTGCGGACGACACCGGCGACAGCCTTGGGGATGGAGGAGTGGAGGGGGTGGAGTGAGGCTTTAGTGGGCACGGCACTTGTGGCGGCGAAGCTGAACATTCCGATGCAGGAACTGGAGCAGAGTCTCCTGTGGCGCCAGGCGACTCTGCCCATTCGGCTTGGCGGGTTGGGGATCATTGACCCCATATCGGAGGCACCAGCCGCCCACATCGCATCGGTGACAGCGGCGCACTCCATCCTGCTGCAGCTAGGCCTTCCCCCCGAGTGTTTGCTGCACAGGGCCATCACGCTCCTGGCCCACGACTGGTCCCCTTCCCCCCCAGATTTCAACCCGCTGTCGGCCCTGGAAGAAGGCCTCCCAGCCCAGGCGCAGGCAGTCCTTGCCCTTTTCAGGACGGACAGCACGGGCACAGGCAGTCTGCAACTGGGTCTCTCGAAGCAGATCAATCTGCAGCGGGCGGCAGATCTCCTAGGCGACACCGTGGTGGACAGACCGGGCAGGCACAGGGGGCATGGGGTAAGGCTGATTAGCCTGAAAGGGGTGGGGGCGGGCGACTGGCTTCATGCAGTGCCAACGAGAGCTGACCTTACAATCTCCCCTGGTCAGTTCTCCTTAGCCCTAGGCCTCCGCCTAGGCATGGAACTGCCAGTGGCTGAGGTGTGCCCATGCAAGCGGCAGGGGTCCAATATCTTGGATAAGAGCTTACCGAACCATATGCTGCGCTGCCAGGACGGGGGGGATGCGGTCCGGACTCACAACGCCCTCGTGTACGCAGCGCTACGCATGGCGAAGGAGGCCGGCTACAATACCCTCTATGAAACCTCGGCCTTCTCGCCTCCAGTCCTAAGGAAGAGGGCAGACCTAGTGATCCAGGACCAGGAATCGGGAGAGACATGGGTGACAGATGTCACTGTGACGGATCCGGTGCTGCAGGAGAGGGATGTGAGGGCACGTAGGCCGCCGGGGTGGGCAGCAGAGGAAGCTTCTCAGAAGAAGCACCGGCTGTACGAGGGACGGCCGAGCTATGCGGGGTTTTTTGGGCTTGCAGTGGAGACCTATGGGGCGATGGCAGCCGACACCGTACAGTTCCTTAGGATGTTGGCCACCCACGCTGCAAAGAAAAAGTTCCGGCAGGGGAGACTCACCACCACGGCAGCTAGGCTCACGGCCCACTACCGCCAGAGATGGTCGGTGATGCTGCAGCGTAGCCAAGCTATCTCCCTCCTGTCCAAGTCCAACCGAGCGGCAGAGGCGGCTTTCCCACAGGCAGCAGCAGACCCATGGGCCCCACGCCTGTCAGACCTCTGGCAGATGATGGCTGACGAATATGAGGAGCGGGAAGCTCCTGTTAGGGCACCTTAGACGACCGTGGGGGGCGCAAGGGGGCGGCAGGGAAGCAGCAGGATGGTGAACGGTAGAGGGGCAGGGGGAGGAGCTGGAGGGTGAGGCACAGGAGGAGGAGGTAGCAGGGGTGGCAAGGAGTAGGAGGGAGGGAGTGAGCGCACAGGGTGCAGCCACAGGGCAGTGGGATGCCAGAGATGAGTGGGTTTTGGGGGTTCTCCTGTGGGCTTGGATTGGTGGGTGTTCTGTCTGCTCTCGTTTTGCTTGCTAGCATAGTTTCCAGGTTGCTTGCATGCCTTGCTTAGACCAGCTAGTCCTTCCGCTATGACCATGCCTGTACCTTATGAACACTATCAATACATGACTGCTTGAGAGAGAGAGAGAGAGAGAGAGAGAGAGAGAGAGAGAGAGAGAGAGAGAGAGAGAGAGAGAAACACTCACATGCACACATACGCACGCACACGTACACCCACCCACTCATCCACACACACACACATACTCTCACAGGCACATATACACACATACACACACAGAGAGGCACACACACACCAAGTCACATACACCAAGCACTACACTGGTGGCGCTCCTGGTGCGATAGTAGCCTCATCCTGTCTATTATCTCACACGGATATTGGCTCCCATGGAAGAATGGACCCCCGGCACCTTTCGAAAGGAAAAACCACGCAGGCGCCCATACACATTCGGACTTCACACGCGATGCCATTCAGGACCTCCTGCGAACAGGATCAGCGGCAAAAGCTCCTGACCGATCAACACTACTATGCATTAGCCCACTCAACGTGGTCGAACAGCGAGAAAAATGTCGGCTCATCCTCGAATTGCGGAAGGTCAACGAGCACTTGTGCATTCCTAAATTCAAGTACGAAGGCCTCGCGCGGGTAGCGGAGTTGATCCAGCCGAACGACTGGATGCTATCGGTTGATCTCAAGTCAGGGTATCATCACGTGGACATCCATCCCACCTGCTGGAAGTACTTAGGATTCCAGTTCGAAGGCAACTACTACTTCTTCCAATCCCTGCCATTCGGTCTGGCCACGGCCCCTTTCATCTTCACGCAGCTCATCAAACAGCTGGCCCGACGATGGAGATCTCTCGGGTGGCGGGTTATCCCATATGTGGACGATATACTGATCCTGGCAGAGACCGCACAACAAGCGGGAGTCGC